CCCCAAAACCCCAAAACCCCAAAACCCCAAAACCCCATAGTTTATTTAAATTATTGAAATATTAATCAATTGCTGAATCAAATTTGTGCTTGCCCACTTCCTTCTTCATGTTTAATTTTAGCTTGTTCTTCATTTTATTGTTCATTAATATCTTGTAAAGAGAGCGGGTCCGCTCAAACATTGCTACTGCTCTGCATGGATCCATGATCCCACTATAGATGTTAGACAAAGAATACCTTCGGTATTCTTTGGAAACTTCATCTTGATGGATGATCTGCTGCCGATGGGCGAACATTTGATATTCAAAGTTCTTCTGCATTTCTTTGAAATGGAGTTTTCTGTCAATTTTGTCCACTAGAAAAATTTCACGGAAGGGTATACTTGTGAGGCTGTAGTGGCGATGCTTAATGTCTTCGATTCATCTATCCTCATCTATCTTGCATTGGTCTCTCGGAGAAATATCTAGAAAGGTGAAACAGAGACCTACCTTCGTAAGAGTGACAATTTGTAATGATACTTTCCAGTAGAGATCCACTTCTGTTCCTGTGAAGATTTGGTAAACTTCCTTCTGTCCTCTTTTGAAGGATCTTCTTTATTACGTTCTATGAGGTGACATTGAGGGATGAGGCACGGCATTTAGTAAGATATTTTAGGAATCACATAAAGAGTACTAAACTTCATTATGACAGCTGAGGTAACCCTGCTAGGCTACTTACCATATCATATTGGAGCCTCTTATTGTTAATCGTTTCTATATCTTTCTCATAGTCTAAAGTATTTAGAGGGATTGTACCTGTGAAGTTGGCAGGCTTCTTCTTTTGGATAAACTTAGTATAATTTAACTTGTTTTTCAAACTCAAGAGATTATTCTCGATCCTTTGGTTATTTGAACGGTTTGTGTAGAGAGCCTCTGTGGTTTAGCCAATAAAACATACCTTTGCTGGCTCATTACTGAAAGACTAGTCTTCCTCTCAGGAGGTCTTAGGACATTTAGTATGTATCCTTTAGGACTTATAGAAGATGATTTCTCTTCTGAAATTAGTTTTGCAAGTTTGCCAGCTAAATCTGTAAGTTAAAATGTCTGGAACTGCCACAAATTAACTGAGATATGGCGAAAAGGCTTGTGATAGTTCCTAAAGAGGTCTGAAGGACATGATACATCCATATGCAACCTATTAACCTAGTTCACAAACTTATGTGCTTACCTGCTTGTGGAGTTGCTTCTTTGTTAGCCCTCCAAAATATTGTTGTCAGTCTTCATTCTTTTTATATTTGGGGTGTTCGAGTAGAGACTTGACATAATTTTCATCCTTGTCTCAAGTGGAGCCATAAAGGATGGCTGCTTAGCTAAAAATGCTATTTAGTAAGAAGAGAACGATGAGAACAACACTGAGTCTTGATTATGCTAAGGAACCAACTGTGGATAAGATAATGCGTATTTAGTCGGAATTTATTGGAATAAATTTGTTCTGGGCATTTTGATGATTTTTCATGAAAGTTATGCCTTGAAGATAAAATTTTGCCATTCATCCAAGAACAAATTATGATATAGACAAGAAGGGAAGAAATTCTCATCTCTCGTGGTTAGATAATGAGAAGCTTTGTAAGCAAAGATATATTTCAGAATTTTACAAATAATGGAGAAATCTTATAATTTTCCACTTAATATTTGCTGAAATCTGATTGGCATATTCCAAGCGAATTACTTTTGGGTTTATTATGATTTCCTCGTATGTCATCTTCATCTGAAGTTCTAAAGGAGTATTTTAAACCCAACTAAGGTACCAAGATTCATCTATTGTGCATCCTAATGGCTTATAGACCTTGGTATCTCATTGCTTCTTCGTATTAGCATCTATAAGTTCTTGCATGGGGTCATTATCCTGTTCATCTTCTTCTATGAATGAAATTAAACGGGTTGGGATACCTAAGATGATGTCCTTGGCTACTTTATCCCTCAAGTTTTGAAGGATATCCAGGCTGTCCTCAAATTTAGAGTCTCCTCTCTTCATCGCCCTCAGAATAGATGGTGTCTTCTTAAATTTTTCTATGGGTAAGTTTGGAGATTTACTTAAATTTTTACACTTTTTCATGGCATCTTTGAATATTGATGTCTCTAATTCCCCTTTGATTTTACTCTCTTTGAGAAATTTATCAGTCAGCTTCTTCGCGTCGGAAAAGTATAGGCTCCTAAATGCAAGCATACTAGTAAATTTTAATACAAATCAAGGAATCAAGACCACATCATGAATGGGAGAATCCTTACTCTGGGTTTAAAGTCAGCTTTTGCAACTTTTGAGTCACTAATCGAACCTCCTTAGTAGTAGGAAGTATCTTGTTGGAGCCCTGTCAGCTGCTGCCAAGTTTCGTAGCTTCGCTTATGGTAGCGCTACCATTGATTCCAAGTAGAGTCACCTTCTGGCTATTTCTTCTGAGTTTAGTATCAATGCTCATTGATCTAGAGGTAAGGAACAAATTACCTTGGCTTAGTGTCAGATGTGTTCACATCACTAGTTATAGTTACTTTCCTTCACTTTTTAGACGATCAATCTTTAATAGGTTTTTCTAAAAGCATTAGAGCATTTTTGGAAAGTTTGCGAAGGGAAACACAAATTTACCTTCATTGTAAGATTTCATATACTCTTGTTCTTTCTCTGGAGTCGTATAGGCTTCGGCTACACTATCGAAATTCAGCTTCTCTCGAAGAGTCCTATAAATAGGATTATCATTAGCTAAAGGTGTTAATTATTACCTTCTGATGCTGATTCTTTCTCAGCATCGGATTGCATTTTTAAGGAATCTATCCTTCTATATCGTATTTAGCACTGAAAGTTGATGTTCGATAGGTATCACAAAGTAATGTAAAAGGGGTATGTTGATTGGTACTTCCATTTCATGGCTGTTTAAACAGTAATGTTGCTCTCAGATCACAAATCTGGCACATTTTCAACATTCTGAGACCAGAGCGAAAAGTTATCCCAATAGTGGTTAGAATTTTCCAAAACCTTACTCTTCTTTTCTTGGCTAACAAAGAAGGACTTTTCGTGATTTTGTTTCTGTGCAAGGGTCTCTTACCAGCTAGAAAACGTTAGACTGCCAAGTTTGCATCATGGTGTCATTAATGACTTACTGCCTTTCTCAAGGTGCACCTCATGGCCATATATCTTGAGTGTTCTACTCATAAATCAATCAATTTGGAATAAATTATATTATTTTTCTGGAGTCTTCTTAACTTTCTATATGAATTATCTAGGAGGGGTTTTGGGGTTTTGGGGTTTTGGGGTTTTGGGGTTTTGGGG